CTTGTTAGTCAAATATAACGAGCAATGCGAAATGAGAATGCATCTGTGTAATGCATATCATCAGAGTAACATGAGCTTGTCTGCGTGTCTCAGTTCTGCCTTTTGGTACCTCTGCTGTGAAATCCTGCAGCCCTACTGCCCTCCTCAGAGAGGTGGTTAAATTTCAGATTCAGTTGTAACATTGTTCATGGTCTAAACATAGACATAATCTGGCCTTTTTAAGGAATTTAATATTATTTGCACAGGTGTCATTTGTCAAAGGTAATACAGTATGTCCGCTAGTGACTCACCGTATTGACTGTGTGCATGTATATATCCTTCTAGGACTATCTTGATACCCTCATGGGTGTGTGCTATGATGGGGTGGAAGGGCTCCTCTACCTCTCTTTGTTTTCTCTTCTGGCTGCCTGCGCACTCTCTGCCATGCTGTGTGTAATTTTCCGAGTGTGGACACTAATGGGCAGCAGGTCAGTGCTGAGCGACCCCGTTACCCCATTAGTAATGCCTACAGTGCACTTCTGCAAAGTGTTAACGCATGCACTCTCTCTTTCTGTCTCTGTGCGCGGGTGTACACTTTCATGCAGGGAAAAAGAGTACGATGACATAGATGAGGAGGATCCATTCAACCCCCAAGCTCGTCGGATATCCTATAACCCCCGAAGGTCCAACACGCACAGTTTCTGTAGCTATACCACAAGCCTTGGCAGCCAGGCCAGCCTTCATCCACCTCCTCAGTCAACTTCTAGTGTAGTGTCACCCCCTGAATACATGTAAGTTTAATAGCAAATGATGACGCTGCTTATTTTTTCTTGTTTTATTAATGTATGTGTTTCACCTCTGTCTAATGTCTTTCCCCTTGTTTCACAGGAATCAGTCCATGCTGTTTGGAGGAACCCCTCGGTATGAGAATGTACCACTGATAGGGAGAGGATCCCCGCCTCCCTCGGTGCGTTGGCCCTACGGGGCTCTAGTGTCCCTAGTTTAATGGCAGTGATGGCATAGTTGGCCTCAGCCCCACTACAGTACTAACAAGAAGCATGTGCCAGAAATGTAGCAATGTTGATACACTGCACACAACCTCAACAGTTAATGAAGGGAGTTATGTTGCTCTGTAAATGATGGAAGACTGACATCTACTGGCTGTTGACTGAAGTGTGTTCATTTTTAGTGCATTACTAATCTATAACTACAGTCATATATCCTTTTTACATTTGGCGGTTTTCACTGGACTGTATTTCTGGTTCTCAAAAAGGAATAGTTTAGGTCAGATTAGAGATCTAAAGATGAAACAAGCAATACTGCCAGCTCAATCTCACATCATGTATCTATTTTTAAAGGAGGGGCCTCATAGTCTAGAAGTGCATGGTGTGCATCCAATGCTGGGGCTAAATGATAAATAATAGATAGAACACTTGTAAATCCACAGTTAAAGTCTCTGTTGGTTGGTTTTCTTTTATATTAAGTTTTCTGCTTGTGTGGCTGACTCAGTGCTTCAACAGCTTTCACAGTGTGCCAAAGACTTGAAACACCGTTTGAGGTGTGAGAGCGTGAACGTGGACTATGCTCAAACCTATTCTTTCCTCTATAAATCACATTTTCAGCATGCATCAAGATGTGTTATTTGTTCCTGTTACTTAAATGTTTGCTATTTTGGAAAACATATTTGCAGTACGTTTGTTTTTCTGTTATTATTTAATTTATTTAATTTTCTGTGACGTTTCTGTGATTTTCTTATCCTTTATATAATCAGTTTCTCAATAAGGCATCTAAATATTGAATATTAACCAATGTTTTCTACCCACTTTTTTTAAAATGTCCATTCTTTGACTTATTGTTTCACTCTTGTCTGACTTAATTTGCTTGATTTTTGTATGTTTCCCCCCCTGCAAACCTTTCTAATGATGGTTGCTATGCAAAATGTTTATAACTTGTATCTCAAAGCTCAGGGACCCTTTTAAAGCTCCATAGTACCTCAGCTTCCTGGCACTGTTTAACCCACAGAGTGTTGCATGTGAGTGTAACTTATTCTAACTTGTTATGCCCTCCTGCTTTTTAACTTCTCGCATCATTATAGTACTATCCCCTGATTCCACAACTCTTGATTAAAGACTGGCTTATAATTAAAACAGGTGTTCTGCAAGCTTAGATCTGTTAATAACATATTAATATGTCATATGCTATCAAAGGTGCTTTTTTAAAGTCCATATGTTCTAAACTGATTTTTTTCTCATATATTTCTCTGGCAGTATTCACCCAGCATGAGAGCTACCTATCTATCCATGACTGATGCCCAGATTAGACACTTTGGGACTGATTTTCAGGTGTAGCCTGCTGTCTACTGAATCCCTTTCAGTACTTCATCTGAGATGCTAAGCTTCAACCGACAAGGCTGTCGTCACGGTATAACTCTGTTTGCAGGAGTGACAGCCCGCCGTCCCAATCTGAGACATTAAAGCAGGCAATATGAGGTAGTTGCCTCACTGACACACTAATGCAGTCCCTGGAAAGCACTGAAAGTTTTTAATATAGAGGACTGTTCAGTTTCATCTGAAGGCTGTTGTTGTTGTCGTTATCATGGTTTATGGAAATACTGTTGCTCAAATGTAAGCTTTTCTATGAACCAAAATCCGCAGTCTTTGAACTCTTTTCAGTATTCTGGTGGTGTGCATGGATATAATCATCGGTCAGTATTTTGATGTAAAGTGAGTGGCTGGCTTCCATCATGGCATTTGATTTTTTATTTTATATTTTTTTTGCTTTATCCTTCTGTTTGGCAGCAATATCGTTTCTTTTTTGTCCTTTTTGTAATTTCCAAGGGTGCGATTTGAAAGGATACAGGAAAAAATGAATGAGTTAATAAAACAAATACCAAGTATTATAGTTTTGTTTTCATTAGCCAAAGATGCCTTTAACAAAAAGTCAGATGGGCATAGATGATAAAATAATAACTGACTGTTATCACTATTAAAGCAAAATTGGCCATACAAGTAATTATAAAGAAACTTTGGAATGCAGAACTCAGTGCTACTAGTTAGCTTTTAAAGAATAAACTGAATATGCAAGGAACATTCTCTACTTTATTAAATAAATGTGTTATGTCTGGGTTTTTTTTCATGTTTGCTAATGTGTACAGAAAGTCTCATGATTAAATGCTATATTCAGACTTGTTGATCCATTGTTTACTTATTAGCTCTCCACTGATGGCTTAGAAAGACCTGCTGCAGTAATTTCATTAGTGTGGCTGGGATTTGGTGTGATAGCCTGTACCTGGAGATATAGTATGGGGCAATGGGAGTCTTAGAGGCATGGTTCTCTGTCAGCTCTTCGAAAGAGCAGACTTCTCAAGAATCAAAAAATGCACAACACACAACTGCAAACCAGTGTCCTTGAAGTATTCACCTGTTTCACTTCAATATAATAAAATTGTTCTTTATGCTACAAGACTTTGACCACTTCAGAATCTTATTCTTCTCTATGCACCTTGGGAATAGAATAAACTGCGTCAGAGATCCCTAACTTGATACATTTCTGGCTGTAGTCAGTGTTGGTGAAAAGTGTGGTCAGAAATGTTTTCTGTAACACATTGATCGGAGAGGCTGCTGTGTCCTGCAGTGCACCTGTAAGTCTATGTAGTGTTATAAGTTGAACTGAAATAAACCAATAAACTCAGTTTAACAACTTTAAAAGTCAATATTTGCTTTGACCACCTTTAATCTTCAGCACAGCCTTAACTCTCTTAGGTAAGCTTTCTTGTCATTTCTTTAAGTAGTCTTCAGATCATTTCTTTGTATTATGGCTGTGTTTTGTTCTGTTCTCTGTCAAACTGATCTCACGCTGCTTCAGTGATGTTAAGGTCCGGGCACTGGGGAGCCCAGGGCATGACTGATACTGTTCCATTGTGTGTTTTCTATCCAGGTATGTGTTTGCTGTGTTTGGGATCATTTTCATGCTGAAAAATAAAGCTGCAGGCAACCAGTTCCTTTCCAGATAGTATTGCATGTTGGATCAAAATCTGATGATACTTATCTATATTCATAATTCCAACAATATCAACATTTGACAAGATCCCCCAACAACCAACACTGGCTGAAATGTAGCCCTGGATCATGATAGAGCCTCTATGTTTGACAGATGGATGCTAACTATTGTACCATTTGCCTGACCTTCTCCATACATACAGTATTGACCCAAATTTCACATTTGAGGTCATCACTCCATGAGGCCTGTTGCCAATGATTTTCAGCCTAGTTCTCATGTAATCTGGCATAACCTGACACAATAAATATACACTTTGGTATGTCACATTTTTTGTCTAATAGCTGAGAATCATTTTGGTGCAAGAATACAGTTTTATGGCTGTTTAACCGTTTTATCTTTGATATTTTTTGTAGATTCAACTAAAGAAATGGGAACTAAATGTTTTTCGCAACATACTGGTGTAACAAAAGTATCTAAAGGTGCCGTTTAAAATGTGCACTTCACGAAACGTCTCTTATGTGTAGACACAACGGCAAACTCTAATGAAAAACTTAGTCTGGCTCCTTGGAAGTAAACTAAAAATAAATAAGAGTTGTCTCTGTTTCCAAGACTTTTGCACAATATTGAGTCATTTAGAATGCTGTCCTCTTATCACATTGCTTAACCTTACTAATGTGAAATAATACAAGAGCTGTCTGTTAATTTCCTGCCTTTATGTTGAGCAAAATCTGCTATTTTTAGAGGAAACGTTTCTTGATTGCTCTCCATGGTGCTGATCCTGGAACCCCCGGAGAGGCGGAAGCTCTCCAAGGTACCAACAGTCCGGCGAGAGTGTTTAACATGTGCCCCCTATACAATCTGCAGTTGAATTCATTTTATCATAGTAATAGGCGCAGCTGTTACCGCACGTACCATGTCACAATATAACAGGAATGAATATCAGAACAACGAGCTCTAATAATCAAGTAATGTAACGCTTCGGATTATACGTCCTGCCTTGCTTGCCGTAGGAAACGCGGAAAACAAAAAGAACTGAGGGCATGGTGTAGTCAGTTAGCCTGTTAGCCATTTTAGGCTAATTACTATCGTACAAAATGTTTAGCAAAAAGTGATATTTTTTGTGTTGATACGGGAGAATGTGGCGGGGATGTGGCTGAATAATGGGAAACGTCTTTGGGAGAAAGAGTCGACCTTCTCGTGTAACGGAGCAGGACAAAGCCATTTTGGTGAGCTGATAGCGGTTATAGCATCCCCGTTATCGGGCTATTGTTAGGGGTTGCACGGTCTTGTGCTGTGGTCACACGGCGAGATGAATTAATATCGCCCGATGTGCTTACTGTTGGGTTTCTCTGCGACTCGTATCTCGTGAGAACTGTATTCCCCTCCTCCGTTTAGCACAGAATTGGTTTCATAAAATATCTACTGAATGAGTACATCTATTTATAATATGCGACATCAGTTTATGGACCTCTTCCTTGTGTTTTTGTGTCTATTTCTTCGTTACTTTTTTAGTAGATAAAAAAAAAAAATTGGGTACTCCTGTTTAACTGCTGCTTAAGGATAATATCTAATATCTAATCAGCCAATTACATGGTAGCAAAGGATGTAAAAGATGAAGCTGTCAGGCAGGAGGCGAAGAGAAAGACCACAATTATGGATATATGAAAGGAGAGCGGAAGAGGATGCAAGAGATCGTCTATGGAGGCAGATCTGCTGTTACATTCCTAAAGGCAGTTCTCTCAAAATGACCTGATGATGACAGAGTTCATAAGCAAATGAGCAGACTCCTTTGAGCTGATGAGAAGATAACAGTAACTACTACTCATTACCACCAAGGTATGCAGAAAAACACATCTTCTGCAAGTTTCAAACAACATCGCAAACCTTGAAGCAGGTGAGGTACAGCAGCTAAGAACAGGAAAATTAGGTTACAGTTCACATGAGCTCACCAAAATTGCACCATAGACACTGAGATAGTAGGGTCAGAATTTGTAAACGACATGAAAGCATTGATCCACCCTCCCCATCTTGTACCAAATGGGCAACATTTAAATGCTGCATCCTCCCTGAGTATTGTAGCTGACTATATCCATGACTCTAAGCACAGTCTATCCTTGTTCTCGTGGCTAGTTCCAGCAGAATAATGCGCCATGTCAAAAGCTCAGATCAACTCAAACTGTTTGTTTGATCGTGGCAATGAAGCCACTGTACTCAAATGGCCTTCACAGTCAGCACTGTGATTTGGTGTAACGGGTGGTGCAGATCTGCTGCAACTGTGTGATGCTGTCATGTCAGTATGAACCAACATATTTATCTAACTCATGGCTAGCAAGGTGTACCCAATAAAATGGCAAGGAATGTGTATATTATATTGTTGTTGTTGTTGTTGTTTTTTTCATTTTCTCGTTGGGGATTTTGTCCAGCAACTGAAGCAGCAGAGAGACAAGCTGAAGCAGTACCAAAAGAGAATCACCTTGCAGCTGGAGAAAGAGCGACGTCTAGCAAAGCAGCTGCTACAAGATGGCAAGAAGGAGTAAGCACAAGTCTCGATTTTACACAATATCTACCAGCATGTAGTTACACTACTGTGAATACTGGCAACAATGTAAACAAATGAGGTTTACTTAAATATGGATAATGCTACTTAAAATTTCCCAAGTTAATGACTCCTGCACAGAGTCCGTTTTCTCTTTTGTAATTCAATTTACTTTATTCGGCATGCAGCGGTACACACTGTATTCGTACTGTAAACAAAAGATATTCTTTGCAATATGATGCTTTGTGTTTTCATTTGTTATTGCAGAAAAGCGCTGTTGCTTCTTAAGAAAAAACGGTACCAGGATCAGTTACTAGAAAAGACCGAAAATCAGATTTCAAATCTCGAGCGCATGGTAAGTTTCATAGCATCAGTCCACCAGGCTTTGATATTCAGTGCCAAGGGAGAGTGGACCAGTTCAATTCTGCAGTATTTAACAGTTTCCAAAATAACTGTTAATAATATGATTGCTTAAATGCAAATTGGTCCAAAGTTGAGAAGTCCATTGTGGCCTTAAATTCATTTGTGATACAATACTGTTTTGTGATTACTTGTGATTTGTTACTATATTTCATGCTAATCCAAACCAAAAAATAGTGTAATGTAAAGTGTTTGTTTTAACTCAGTCTCTCTTTAATCACTATTTTATGAGAAAATAAAAGGGACAAATACTATTTGATTTGTTGTTTTGTTTATTTATATTTCATGTAACTATTTTTACAATGTAATTGTTTGTCAACAGGTTCAAGACATTGAGTTCATGCAAATTGAAATGAAAGTCATTGAGGGACTTAAAGTTGGCAACGACTGTCTGAAGAGCATGCATGAGGTAGTGCTTTCCATTGTTTTTCCTGTACTATGCATTTTCAAAATATTTTAATACCACCTTAAGAGTTATAAACATGAGTGTATAATGTAACATTATGACAGATCATGTCAATAGAAGATGTGGAGAGAATCCTGGATGAGACACAGGAATCGACTGACTATCAAAGGGTAAAATGCCTGATGTTTATCAAATATACCTGCACAGAACTATCATTAATACCGGTACTGCATGTATGCCAAAAATCAGCTGAGGTTTGATTAAACTACATGTCCAATAGTAATTATTTCCTTCATATTGTAGTGTATGTTCTGGGATGATACATATCACTTTAAGAGAATTTTTTAAATCAACGATTTCGTTTGTTTGTTTGTTTTTAATTTATTGCTTCATTTATGCACCTGTAGCAAATAGATGAAATGTTGGCTGGAGTCCTGACACAAGAGGATGAGGATGCTGTCTTAGCAGAGCTGGAAGCTATCACTCAGGTGGGTGTTACACTGCATTGTAAACCTTTGTTATTACTAAAAATATTTCCAAAGCATGCATGCTCTTTTGCTGTTATCGCCCCACTTCATCTAATAGTTACGCCCACCAAGGCTCCGAGCGTGACCGCAGCATTCAACTGCTGGCCACTGAGTGCTTCCACTTGAGCAATTATGTGGTTAAAGCTGTGATTCACGGTTGACTCATGCAGGGATATCACACCTAAACTGAACGTTGCCATTTAATCTTAAATCTATAGAAATCTGGTTTTTGAAGAGAAGAAAACTGTGTTGCAAACTTAGAAGAAGAATTTTTAAGCTAATTACAATATAAATGTAGCATAATAACACAGTGAATATGAAACAACTGTGGGTATGAATTTGGTTAATTCATTGTGATTAAAACCTCAGAAGATTATTCTTTTATGATGTAATTATTATCCTAAATTACACATTCACATGTCTGTCAAACTACATGCTGTAAATTACTATTTTTCACATTTGTACAAAGACTAGTTTTAAGAATCAGTTTGACACAATTATGCAAATAAAATTGTAGCGCAGTAGATATTATTGTATTTGAAGCTGAATTAAATGTGTTTCTTCTTAAAGACAATTTTTAAATGCATACAAAAATATCCTCCCACACTGCTAGACCTCACTATTGTACAATGAAATCAGTTATACAAACCCAAATACTGCATGAATTACACCAGTGCAAATTTCTCTGTAGATTATCTTTACAAACAGGAAACAAACAAAAAACAACTCCTGAATAGAAAGCTCATTATAAAGATTAACAAGTTGTTTTAAGATGAAAAAAGAAAAATTACCTGAAGCAACAAGAAGCAGAAATTGATTTTAGAAAAAAAAAAAGAGGAATATTATTTTATTTTGAAGGAGCTATAGTGTTTTGGAAACTGTGAAGTATGGTGTAAATGCAAAAAAAAAAAAAACCTAAAGAGGTAATGCATGGAAACAACATGAGACCTCCCAGAAAATGTCTGTAAGAGGGGCAATTAAAATGAATATATCTGAAAATCAATAGAATCATCTGGGGGAAAAAACAACATCATTTATTGAGCAAAGAAAACTATTTTTTGCAGTTTTGCCTCTGAACACCACCACAGTGGATTTTTAAAAGATTTTTAGAAGGTTTAATATGAGGCCAAAAGAAATATCGGTGAAACTGAGAAAGGCCATCAGGCTAAAAGAACACAATAAATCTATCAGACATACGAAAAGGAGACAATGTTATGCCATGTAGGGGTGTCAGTGGATCTGGGCCACTAGTGTTAATTGATGATGTGCCTGCTGATTGAAGTAGTAGGAATATTTCTGAAGTGTACAGCGCTGTACTCTCTGCTCAGATGCAGGCATATACTGCAAAACTGACTGCAGCACATAGATAATGACTCGAGCATATATGTCCAAGCTTACTACAAAAGCAGCACAAGAGTTTCTCAAGGCAAAGAAATGAGATATCCTTCAATGACCAAACGTGTGACCTGATCCCACCACAACATAGCTTTACAGTTACTAAATGCAAACCTGGATGCAGAACATGCCACAGCAGAGGATTTAAAGGAAAGAAACAAAGCATTTTGTTGATGTCTGTGGGTTCTAGACTTCAGGCAGTCTTTTGCTGCAATGGCTTTTTAGACAAGTATTAGAAACAGTCCTTATATTTAAAATTATGTTGGTTTATGTGACTAATTTTGAGTCTAGGAAAATGGAGGTTTGTGCATAAAAATGGATGTAATTCCTAGTTAATGGCATACTGTTTGCTGTACTTCAATCACAAATTGATTTCTAAAAAAATCTAAAATCCCTTGTTCTGGTGTGCAGAGCCAAAATGTCAAAAACTGTCTTTGTCCAATATATTATGCACCTAAACTAAAATTAAAATAAAATTGTTGTGCAACTTTTTGTAGTACTGCTTTGATAATAAGTCCACAAATTTTTCAGCTTTTCAGGAACTAAATATGTCAGCTGGCTTTCGTAATCTCTCTTTCTGAAACAGGAAGAAGACGTAGCACTTCCAGAGGTCCCCAGTGAACCAATACCAGAGGTGTCAGAAGCAGCTAAAGCAGAGCCAGGTACATCTAATCTTTCACTCAACAAATCATTCCTTAAACAACCATAAATTAGTGTTTGACGTCACACTATTTTATTTTGATTTTGTGTTTTCTAGAGAGGCGAGAAGCAAAGAGCAAGCCAGACAGAGAGCTGTTGGCAGCCTAGTAGACTGAATGTGTGGTCTGTATCCAGTGTTAAGCTGCATAAAGAGGTGGATTTCTTTTTTTTTCTGGGATTTGGTATGTGAACACGGGACCTGCACACATCAGTGCATCTTCACACAATTTACAGCATCAGCACTGTCTGTACTTGGTTCACCGCTCCACTTAAGTCATGCATAAAGTGAAATATTCTATTTCTCTGTGTCTGATTTGGTTAGGAAGAGAAGTGTTGCATTGTAGCTGTTATTGTAGAATAACAGGAGTTTTTAGATGTCTTACACATTATTTACAGCTTTACATATTAAATTGAGCTGTGGGAACAAACGCTGTCCTGTCTTTATTTGTCCACAACTGATTATTTTTTGTCTTTCTTGTAATTTTTATAAAATGAAAAATTAATAAAAATAATAAATACCAGTGAAAATATGCACCATACTTTCTCCAGAAGGGGGCACTCCTCACTTGTGTTTTTCTACACCGCACTCCACATAACAGGTGTCTTCATTTAGAGTGCCCTTAGTGTGTACTTGTTGAAAGAAAATCAAAATCTCATGTTGCTAATATGTGGGTGATGTTTAGACAAGGAAGAAAATATAGTATTTACAATCTGACACTAAGCAGCAATTAGACACTAATTAGCATGTACAACGCAGCTAACACAAATTATCCTATGAGGAAAAACAGCACCTATGGTGTAACAGGTACAGTGCGACTTCCCTAAAGCCTCATGTAATAGTAGGCATACTTGAGGCAGATTTACGTGGTGTATAATGGCTTTAATCGGAGGAATATGGCTTAAATTCACCACACTGAGACTCTATCATTTATTACTGATTACTGGTGCGCATGGAGATAAACTGGCAGAATGATCCCACTACTTTAACCAGCTGTTCATGCTTAGTCATATATGTTTATAGGTTAAGGTATATGCTAGGTCCTATTGTGCATAACTCTACCAAGCTTATCATTGTAAACACTGGAGCGATATGAATAGATAAACATACATATTTTAAAATACATGGAATTTGTGGCTACGAGAACGAATTTGCCTCAAATATTTAGTAATGGTAGAGATTTAGGGGGCGGGCTCTAAATCTGCATTTTGACAAGATGGTGCTGCGTTCTATTACCGTGGGAAATAATGTTTTTAACCGTTTAGTATAACAAAAACACGTCGCGCAACGTAGTAGAAATTTCGTTATGTGACTTTCATTGCCATGATAACGTAGGCTACCATGACAGCCTTTAATAATTGTTTGGGTTTTTAAATTTTATACTTTTGGGGGATAAAAGCCCTCCCTTCATATTTTCTCATTCTTGTTTACCCCTAATCTATACGTCCGAATGTATTAGATTTTACTTTTAAACTTGTAAACAAAAGCTGGAAAATGTTATACTATGTTATACTTCTTTTGTTTAAATCTTCGCATCGCACACAGTGTTTAAGAGATTGCGAAAAAAATAAAATAAAATAAAGGAAGCCCAACAAAAATCAGAACTTCCGAGTAGACCGTAAAGGCAGCATCGGACTGTCAGCTGTGGAGAGAGAAGGTGTGTTTAGTTAGTGGGTTTCGGGAGCGCAGAGCCACTCGGTGTCTTATCTCGCCTGTTGTTAGCTCGCACTCGTGCATTTACCCGTCTCTCCCCTGTTTTTTTTTTTTTTTTTCCCCTTTCTCTCCGCGGATACACGTTTAAAGTAAAAAAACAACGTTTATGGTCCTGGCTGAAGATTTCACCATGTCTCGCACAGACGAGGTTCACCGTTTGACGGAAAATGTCTACAAGGTAAGGTTCAACTAATTAATAAAGTTCGGAGGTATATACGAGCATGTAATTTCAGCCGCAAAGTAAGCACTGCAGCGGCAAAATGAATTTGATCTTTGTATAGTTTTGGTCAAGATGCATTCAAAACCCATTTTTTTAAATCATCGATGATCCCTTAAGGGAGAGGCGCCGAAACGCAGCAGGTTACTATTATTATTATTTTTTATTTTTCACTTGATCAAAAATAATGTATTTTCCGCCTCCCTGTACTTTTGCGTTCCACCACAACTTAAGGCAACACCTTTCCATCAAAACTGCAAAATCAAAGTCACTCACTCTTGCTATTCATGCTCCTTGGCCTGTTGCATGAGTAGCCTACACCTATAGCGGTCTGCTTGAAAGTAGTGTGAGCTGTTCGTTGGTTAACTACTGGTTATTGAGCACAGCCTGCTGAAACATTAACATACTGCATTCCAGAAGTCGGTGCTCGAGTGGCACAAAAGCCTAAGCATCCTGTTGCAACAAGTAAATATTTGCCTCTTCAAACCTGTTCTTCTTAAAACTCCATGTGAACTGCGTTTGATTGCAAAGCCTCAATTCTGGGAAAGACACATTCTAGGTAAAAAATGAATGGAAGCGATTGCACCATCTAAGCCCACCATTTATTTTTTTTAGCTTTTTTCATGTCTCAGTATTTTTAATGCAAAACTTGTCTTCAAATTCTTTTTGTAGAAACAGCAATGGGTTGGATTTACAGCTGTATACTAAAGAAGAGCACCTGATGACAGAATAATAAGGAAATTTGCCATTTATCATCTACCAGTGCTTTCCCCTGTTGGTGTATACATGGCTGGAATGCTCATTTGATTATAGAAGTGGTTGATGAATAACTTAAAAGAGCTAATGCCCTAATCATGCGCTTGTTTTCGTGCTGATTGCTTTATAATTTATTAAACCTCACTGCAGGCTTTGTTTAACAACCTTTGCCATGGTTTAGAGTTGCAGCCAGTAATGGAATGTCAACATAATCTCACCGTATGATGGCTTGCTCCTGTGTCTGCTCTGTAATATTCTTGGGTTTCCTTAATGACTTAGGCCTGCTTGAGGTGGTCTCTATCTTATATCTGTATATATATCTAGGTATTGATACGTGTAATAACCTAAATATACTCTATCGCTAGCTGTTTCCATGCAAAGCATAAGCCAGCAGAAGTTTTGCGAAACCCATGAATGAGTCAAGACGAGCTGTTCTGATACCTATAGGGAATTGAGGTATCAGAAATGAGCAGACATCTAGGGGTTCTTAGAGCCATAAATTGAAGTAAATGTTCCCAGCACTGGTTCCAAGTTTACCTGAATGCCCTTTATCATATGGGGTTTATACAAGTGCTTATTTCCTGCAAATGTTGGTAAATCAGTCCCTCCATAAAAGGGGGAAGAAAGAAATGCTCCAGATTCCCGAGTTCTTTGGGGAGAACAGACCCCTCTGCAGATTTTGGTGCTCATTCAAGTAAAAGCCCAGCAGTGAGTCTCTGTCTCTGGGGTGAAAAAACCCTGTCAAAGCCCTGACAGTCCAACACTGATGGGCAGTAGAGTGGAGAAAGAGAGTCCCACTTCCAACACTGGGGAACTGACCCAGTGGCAAAAGCCAGGAGGTCAGAGAGTGAGTGTTATCTATAGTCACTGCTTCTTTGGCACTTTGTCATGCTTTTTTCACCAAACCTTGCAGCATAAAAGCAAGTTTCGTACTGTTTCTTTAATATTTCAAGAGTTCAGTGTGACCCATATCTCAGTGAGGGGAGAAACACGAGTCTTTTACTGTATACTGCGTGTTGTTAATGCAGTAGAGCTGCAGTGATGAACTGAGTTAACAGTCAGAAATTATTCCACAAGTATCTGTGTTATTGTGTGTTATTGTCTTTATTCTGGTCATCCTTGAAACACAACTCTAGATATTGTCTGCCTCTCTATAAGATGATTAAGACTAGCTTTGGGTATATGTTAACAGACACTTTTGCATGTTTTTAAGACATTATTATTTGATCCCGTCCTATGACCTTTAATTTTCACAAAGAAATGCAGTTTCAAATTTTTATAGTAGTTTAATTTTTGTGAGAAACAGAATATCATCCAAAAATCCAGGAAAAAAGCAAGTATTTGATCCAGTGCAACCCACAAAGAATTATGTCTCCTAATATACAGATAGCTATGTGCTATTTTTGTGGTACACGGATTACAATTAATCGATAAATGATCTAAACTTTTTATGAGTATAAAGCTGACCTGTCCTCTGAATCAGCTTCTTCCAGTCCAACATCTCTGCCAGTATGGGCAAGAGCAAAGAGCTCTCAAAGGATATTAAGAACAAGACTGTAAACCTGCACAAGGCTGCAGCGGTCTAAAAGACCATCAACAAGAAGCTTGGTGAGAAGGTGACAAGTTTTGCTGTGACTATTTGGAAATGTAAGAAATACAAAATGACCGTCAATTGCCCTCAGTCTGAAGATCTTGCCTCACAAGGTGAGGAGGATCTTGAGAAAGCCGGCAGACACAGAAGGCAGTTGGGACCACAATCGCCAAGAACACCACTGGAAATACATTATGCCTAGTGGACTCATATTTGCAGCACCCATAAGGTCTCCCAGCTCAAGAAGGCACATGTTTAGGACCATTTTAAGTTTCAAGTGAACATCTGAATGATTCAGAGAAGGCTTGGAAGAAAGTGCTGTGTATGACCCAGAGAACACCAACTTCAAGGAGATGGAAACATTATGCTTTGGGGCTGTTGCTTCGTGGCTGGGTCTTCCAGCATGACAACAATCGAAACACACTGCCAAGGCAACAAAGGAGTGGCTTGCTTAGAAGCACATCATAATCATGGACTGGCCTAGCAAGTTACCAGACTTCAGTCCTCCTCAGTAGAAAATCTTTGAAGAACCTTAAAGGATTTAGAGTGTTTCTATAAAGAGGAGTGGGCCAAAATCCATCCTGAAACATGTGAAAACCCAGTGACCACCAAGTGGTACGTCATATGTTGCTTGGAGATCAAATGCTTATTTCACTAAATGACAGAGAAGTCAGTTTATAGCATTTATTTAATTTAATGTGGGGTTTTGTTCTAGATTTTTGCTTGGTATTCTGTGTCTCCCCATTTAAAGGAAACTGCTATGAAAATTGGAGACTTATCTTTTCTTGAAAGTGAGCAAACTTCCTAATTCAGCAGGGGGTCAAATAATTATTCCATTGACTGTATATGTGGCACAATCATTGTTTAATCAAGACAAAAAAATTGAGTTGGATCAGTTATAAAAATTTTATTAACCATAGTTTACACTCAAAATAATGCAGTAATCAGCATGTTTCAGCACTTGAATCTACTGTTATGAGTTAAGATGCAAAATTACACATTGTCTGAGGCTGAAATGCAGACTGTCATCTTTAATTTCAGGGGAGTTTCAGCCAAACTGATGAAACAGTACAAGTCATGGCTTCTGTTACAGGATTAGATTAAAATGATAGAAAATGGATGCCTGAAAGTGCACAGAGGTAAATGGAAATTT